CTAGTGTGAAACATGGAGGAGGCTCTGTTATGTTCTGGGGCTGCTTTGCTGCATCTGGCACAGGGTGTCTTGAATCTGTGCAGAGTACAATGAAATCTCAAGACTATCAAGGGATTCTAGAGAGAAATATGCTGGCCAGTGTCAGAAAGCTTGGTCTCAGACGCAGGTCATGGGTCTTGCAACAGGACAATGACCCAAAACACACAGCTAAAAACACCCAAGAATGGCTAAGAGGAAAACATTGGACTATTCTAAAGTGGCCTTCTATGAGCCCTGACCTCAATCCTATTGAGCATCTTTGGAAGGAGCTGAAACATGCTGTCTGGAAAAGGCACCCTTCAAACCTGAGAACTGGAGCAGTTTGCTCATGAGGAGTGGGCCAAAATACCTGCTGAGAGGTCTCATTGACAGTTACAGGAATCGTTTGATTGCAGTGATTGCCTCAAAAGGTTGTGCAACAAAATATTAAGTTAGGGGTACCATCATTTTTGTCCAGGCCTGTTCCATGAGTTTATTTTTTAAAATAATTCTGTTGAAGCATGGTTGAAAAGCTATGTCTGACTCTCATTGGTTAAATTTCAAAGAATTTTTATTTATTGTTACTTTTATCAGATTAAAGTTATTTCTCTGACCATTGTGAGTTTTTCTTTCATTGACTGAAGGGTACCAACAATTTTGTCCACGTGTATGTATGTATGTATGTATGTATGTATGTATGTATGTATGTATGTATGTATAATTTAATATGCAGAATTAAAAAGAATTGCTGGGTGGTTTTCCTACTATTAAATATACAGGAACATTCTGCATAATTTGGTTGTTTGTCACACAAAGGGTGTTAATGGAAAACCTGTCACTTTTTATTTATATCGTCACTACATCCACCCATCCATCCACCCATTTCCTGTAACCGTTTGTCCCATTCAGGTTTGGGGGGGGGTCCTTAGCCTATGCTGGAGGCTACTGGTGTAAGGCTCACTACCTCCACTCAATATAAAAACGGGGTTCAAGATTATTATGGACCAAAAAATCCAGCCTAATTATAAAACATTTAATATAATATAATATAAATCATTTTACATAATACCATTGCAGATGCTCCTAGGATTGTGATGGTCTGGGTTACAGTATTTTGGCTTTACGATGCATAAATGTATCTCAGTACATCATTCAATCAATTACATGAGACACTTCCTTGCAAAATAGGCTTTGTGTTAATGATTTTGGCCAGCTGTAGGCTAATGTAAGTGTCCTGAGCATGTTTTAAAGGTAGCCTAGGCTAGACTATGATGTCTATTAGGTTAGTGTACTGATTTAAAATGCATTTTCGCCTTACAATATTTTTGGCTTATGATTTATCAGAATGTAACTCCATCATAATCTGTGGAGAGGCTGTATATATTTCAGACAATGCTAAGCTACTGTTGCCAGTACAGACGTGTCCTCACATCCTCAGCAAGGCACAGATGAGGCCATCAGAGACAGCAGTCTTCAGGAAGCTCCTAGATCTCAGCTCCATCACATGAACACACAGGCTGACAATATCACTCACAAACCACTCATGAACCTCTATATAAATGCACCCTAATTGTTTTGATAAAATATAAAAGCAGTATCATGAATAACATCCATACGTCTTTAGCAACAGATGTATATAAAATCACTTACAGAGCTGTCCTAGATTTCTTCATCACAGGCAGCAGCCTCTGAAGACCTTCATCTGATCTGATGTATTTCTTCAGATCAAACACATCCAGCTCCATATCTGACATCAGAAACACAAAGGCCAGAGCTGACCACTGTGCAGGTGAGAGGTCTGCTGCTGAAAGACTTCCTGAACTCAGGTATCTTTGTACTTCTTCTATTAGAGAAATGTCACCCAGTTCATTCAGACAGTGGAACAGGTTGATGGTCCTTTCTGGAGATAAATTCTCCTGTATTTTCTCTTTGATGTATTGGGTTGTTTCCTTCATGTTATGTGGACTGTTTCTGGTCTGGCCCAGCAGCCTTTGTAACAGACTCATACTGGAGTCTGTTGAAAGGCCCAGGAGGAAGCGGAGGTAGAGGTCCAAGTGTCCATTCTTGCTTTTTAATGCCTCATCCACTGCAGTCTTCAGCAGGTCAGCCGATGAGTTTGATAAAAACATGTATAAAGCAGCAAGATACTCCTGAATGCTCAGATGCACAAAGCAGTACACCTTCTCCTGGTACAACCCATACTCCTCCTTAAAGACTTCTGTGCAAACTCCAGAGTTAACTGAAGCCTCTGTGACATCAATGCCATTCTCTGTCAGATCCTGCTTATAAAATACGAGATTGCCTTTCTCAAGGTTATGATAAGCCAGTTTACCAAGTTTTAAAAGGAATTCCTTATCAGATTCAACGCATTTAAGCTTGATTTCACCTTTTTTCAGATACTTGTCATTTTTTAAACTTGCCTGAAAGATCAGGAAGTGTGTGTACATTTCAGTCAGAGTCCTTGGAATTTCTCCCCTGTCAGCCTCACTAAAAAGCCTCTCAAGAACAGTGGCTGAAATCCAGCAGAACACAGGTATGTGGCACATGATGAAGAGGCTTCTTGATGATTTCACATGTGTGATAATCCTGCTAACCAGGCTCTGATCATTAAATCTCCTTCTGAAATACTCCTCCTTCTGGGCATCACTGAACCCTCGAATCTCTGTTACCCAGTGGATGTACTCAGGAGGTATCTGATTCGCTGCTGCAGGCCGGGAGGTTATCCAGAGGAGAGCGGATGGAAGCAGATTCCCCTTAATGAGGTTAGTCAACAGCACATCCAGCGATGTTTTCTTTGTTACATCAAAGCAGCTCTCATTGTTCTGAAAATCTAGAGGAAGGCGACACTCATCCAGGCCGTCAAAAATCAACATAACTTTGTACCTGTACAGCTCAGTGGATTCAAGCGATTTCAGTTCTGGGACAAAGTGGTGAAGCAGATCAATTAGACTGTATTCATCCTTAATCAAATTCAGGTCCCGGAAAGGAAGAGCAAATATGAAGTGAATGTCCTGGTTTGCTTCTCCTTCTGCCCAGTCAAGAATAACTTTCTGCACAGAGACTGTTTTCCCGAGACCTGCGACCCCTTTAGTGAGTACAGTTCTGATAGGTGTCTCACGCCCACTTAAGGGTTTAGATATATCATTGCACTTGATTGCAGCATCTTCTGTTCGCCTTTTCTTGGATGCTGTTTCAATCTGTCTCACTTCATGTTCATCATTGACTCCTCCAGTTCCCCCTTTAGTCATGTAGAGTTCTGTGTAAATCTCTTTGAGAAGTGTTGGCTGTCCTTCCTTGGCTTTCCCTTCAAATACACACTCAAATTTCTTCTTTAGGTTACATTTGATTCTGTGCTGACATTGTGACAGAAGTTGCCCTGAAATGAAATGAGAGAAAAATGCTTTTAAAAAACATGCATTTTTTTACCCATATGAGCCAAATTAAAATGATCAACTGAAATTTAATACACATTTTTCATAAACCATGTTTCTGTGGCAAATCAAACACACACTGAATGAGGTACAGCTCTTACTCTTCTCCAGCATGTCAGCCAGATCATTTTGCTCCATGGTCCTCAGGAGGTACAGTGTGATCTTCAGTGCTCCCTCTCTACCACAGGTCTTCTGCATCTGACCATCACTGTCCAGGTCACTGTCCTCCTCCAGCGGAGGCTCAGAGCATTCTGGGTCATTCTGATCCAGGTACCTTTTGAATTTCATCAGTTCATCCTTCAGAAACATATGAGCTTTTTTCTCCAGTTCCTGAAGTGGACAGTTACAGTTTAATTATCACTCCTGTCACCGCATATTTTTATAATTTCATTTATGAATTATGCTGCGTTCCAATTGAACTCGTAAATTAGAAATTTCAAATTCCAAGTCGGAAATTTCAACTGGAACGCCCTCTGAGGTCGTAATTCCGATTCGTGAAGTTGGAGGAATCAACACAATCCGGACCTCAGAATTCAAAATGGCTGCACCCTTAATCAGCAGAAGTAAAAGCTGTAGTTTTATGCTGTTTATTATCAGCAGTTACATCTTATTTGTGATTTGTGTATTAAATCAGTTGTATGCACAGTACTGTCCAACCGCTATCGGTGGACATGTTGCTAAAGTATTTTTATGCGCAAAATACCACATAATGTGTTATCAAAAGATGGCTAACAATTAACCTGGCTAGAACTGGGACCTGTTTCAGAAAGCAGGATTTAAACAAATGTAATGCCATTTAAACTGGGGCCCATTAAATACAAGAAGTTATCTGGTTAAGCAAGAAATCTTGCTTTTTGAAACAGGTCCCTGGAATTGCTAAACTGGCTTTCCGACTTTCTGTACCAGAATGTGCTTAACTCGGGTGAGACGTCATTCCCAGAACGTAGCATTAGTTGTAAACATCATTTCTTTGACCAGATGAACTACTTATTGTTTATCTGTAGAAGATGCATGTCATTTAAAATAAAATTTCTGAAAATATTTCGGTAATAAATGCACACCTTGAAGGTGGATGATAAGTCTCCTTTACGCGGATGTGAATTACATCTTTTCACTCGGTCCCTGTGAATAAAACATAAAAATCCATCCATTAGTCCATCCATCCTCCAGCCACTTATCCCAGTTTGAGGGTGGGGCAGGGTGGGGGGGTCTATTTCAGACAGCAGAAGGCCTAGGATACAGGTTCACCCTGGGGGGGATTCTAGTCCATCACAGGACACAGACACACAGAGGCTGTCATGTGTCATGGGGAATTTAGAAAGGAGCCTAAACACGTGTTTTTGGATGGCAGGAGGAAACCCATGTGATAGAGGGAGAGCGTGCAGCTGCAGACAGACAGGGGGCTCAGCCTCCAACACTGGGGGGGTGAAGCCACAGCGCTGCCCTCTGTGCCGCCGCTAAAATAGGCATTTTATGGAGAGACAAAGGTCCTGCACTGACACTGACTACCACTGCTGCTGCTGGGGGAATAATAACCTACATTTGTATTTAAATAGATGTAACTGCCATCCACATTCTGAGCTTATTTCATTAGGGCGGCTTCCTGACATCAGCTTGCTTATGACAATATAAGAGAAGCAGTGACATCTAGTGGCAGCACAGAGAGACAGCAGGTAGCAGCCAGGAGGGACGGTTTGGCATGTAGCTCCCAGTTACTCAGTAACATTCACCAGTTCCTTCTTGTAAAGTGATTAACATGATTTCAAACAGATTTCAACTTAATTTGCATAACTATCCAGGGGTGGAATTGGGGGGGGGCAACCCTGGGCCCTGCAATCTAGGAGCCCCCAGCTGATCTCAACATTGTTTTAATACAAGAAAGCACATAGATCATATGTTCACACCAAAACATGTACACTCACCTAAAGGATTATTAGGAACACCTGTTCAATTTCTCATTAATGCAATTATCTAATCAACCAATCACATGGCAGTTGCTTCAATGCATTTAGGGGTGTGGTCCTGGTCAAGACAATCTCCTGAACTCCAAACTGAATGTCAGAATGGGAAAGAAAGGTGATTTAAGCAATTTTGAGCGTGGCATGGTTGTTGGTGCCAGACGGGCCGGTCTGAGTATTTCACAATCTGCTCAGTTACTGGGATTTTCACGCACAACCATTTCTAGGGTTTACAAAGAATGGTGTGCAAAGGGAAAAACATCCAGTATGCGGCAGTCCTGTGGGCGAAAATGCCTTGTTGATGCTAGAGGTCAGAGGAGAATGGGCCGACTGATTCAAGCTGATAGAAGAGCAACTTTGACTGAAATAACCACTCGTTACAACCGAGGTATGCAGCAAAGCATTTGTGAAGCCACAACACGCACAACCTTGAGGCGGATGGGCTACAACAGCAGAAGACCCCACCGGGTACCACTCATCTCCACTACAAATAGGAAAAAGAGGCTACAATTTGCAATTTGTCCAATTACAAAATTGTACAGTTGAAGACTGGAAAAATGTTGCCTGGTCTGATGAGTCTCGATTTCTGTTGAGACATTCAAATGGTAGAGTCAGAATTTGGCGTAAACAGAATGAGAACATGGATCCATCATGCCTTGTTACCATTGTGCAGGCTGGTGGTGGTGGTGTAATGGTGTGGGGGATGTTTTCTTGGCACACTTTAGGCCCCTTAGTGCCAATTGGGCATCATTTAAATGCCACGGCCTACCTGAGCATTGTTTCTGACCATGTCCATCCCTTTATGACCACCATGTACCCATCCTCTGATGGCTACTTCCAGCAGGATAATGCACCATGTCACAAAGCTCAAATCATTTCAAATTGGTTTCTTGAACATGACAATGAGTTCACTGTACTACAATGGCCCCCACAGTCACCAGATCTCAACCCAATAGAGCATCTTTGGGATGTGGTGGAACGGGAGCTTCGTGCCCTGGATGTACATCCCACAAATCTCCATCAACTGCAAGATGCTATCCTATCAATATGGGCCAACATTTCTAAAGAATGCTTTCAGCACCTTGTTGAATCAATGCCATGTAGAATTAAGGCAGTTCTGAAGGCGAAAGGGGGTCAAACACCGTATTAGTATGGTGTTCCTAATAATCCTTTAGGTGAGTGTATATAACAATTTTGATTAAGATAAAATATATAATAATATACAAATTTGTCCAATCGATCCACCGGTGTGATATCCCCCCTCCCCCCGATTGGCGAATTTTACCAACAGCACTCCTGTTTCTCTTTTGGCTCCAAAAAACAGCTCACTTAACCCCAAAGGGATTTATTATGTCCCTGGTTTCCAGGATTAACATTAGACTAGTGTAAGACTCAGAGGCTTCCTGTCTCTTGCTGGGCTGCACCTCAGGATTTACCTTTCAGAAACTCCTACATCTTATTGGATACAAATAATGGCCCATCATCAGTGACAATTTTCTCAGCCAGGCCAAAGCTGCTAAACATCTCCTTCAGTGTCTGGATAGTCTCACTTTTTATCATCCAGCACCACTGGTGTAACCCATCGGTTGTGTGGTACCAGTACAATAACCCCAATCTCAGCCAGTCTCTGAATGTCTGTGTCGACTTTAGGCTTCATAGGGGACCATCCTGGCCTTCAAGAAGCATGGTGTGGTGTCAGGCTTCACCTATAACTTGACCTTCTTCCGGTGCATGTCACCTCAGCCTGCTGAAGACCTCATCTCATCACTTTGCTCACTTTAATCCAGTCCAGGTCTCTAACCATGTTGGGTAATCCCCTGTAACCACATAAATGGGAAGTCTGGCCCTCTCTCTGTTTAGTTCCACCAGGACCTCTGCCTTTCCCACCATGGTGATGGTCACACCACTGTAGGTCTCCAACATGAGCCTTGTACGTGTAGTAGAATGTTTTATCTGCCATGAATGACACCGCAGCATCAGCGTCAGTCTCCATCCTGATTGGACGTCCCTACCCCAGAGGTGTGACACCATTGGCTCCCCTTCCTCCTTTTACTCTCAGCACTTTGACCAGTAACTCCTCCTCTGTGTCAGATTCACTGCTGCTGCTCTGCTCATGCAGTTTATTATTTGAACGTCACTTGTTTGTTTTTTCTTTCTCTCTTTTCCTTGTCCCTGTACAATTCCTTTGATTTCTCACTCTTTGCCTTACAAACCTGCCCAATGAGTCCATTCTTTCCTGATATGTTGTGGGGTTTGAGCTCTTTAGTCCAGCACTCTGCTGGATGGTAACTCTCCTTCCACAGCAGTGACATTCCTTGCTGCTGTCTCTCTGCAGTGTCAGAATAAAGAGTACCAATTTGTACCTTTTCTTGTCACTGGAACTGTACCCTCAAGGTTCTGCCAATTGTACCCTACAGCTGTAGGCAACTGTACCGTTTAAGGTACAGAAATGGACTATAAGGAACATTTTTGTACCACTGGGGGTGCATTAATGTTGTTTGTACCTTGGGGATGTTCCACAGAGTCCATTTCTGTACCTTAAATTAGACTTAAAGGTACATTTACCTACAGCCAGTGTACAACTTGCAGACCATTGAGGGTCCAGCTCCAGTGACAAGCAAAGGTACAAACTGCTGCTCTTCATTCTGACAGTGTGGCTGTCAGAGGCGGCTGCTGCCTGCACCCTGGATGCTGCAGTGAGCTGCTGTGCTTCCTTCTCTACCAGCTCCATGGATGCTGCATTTTCTATGGCTTTTTGAACGGGGAGGGGGTCTCCTGTAAGCAGGTGCCTCACTCCGTAACCCAAACACTAATATATCACACAGCAAGTCATTCAATGTTCAGACATTTTTCTCTGCTCAGCCTCATACTGACTAATAGATTCTCCCTCTTCCTGCTTCCTTTTGTGAGACCTAAACTGCTCTGCTATTACTAGTTGCTTGGGGAAAAAATATCTCTGCAAAGCTTCTACAATTTCAGTGAGTCTATAAGCAGCTGGTTATTTGGCTGAGCAGATGTCTCAGTAATCCAGAAGTTTTAGACCCCATCAGGCTCAAAAAATTTGGTATGACCACCTCCCCTTTAATGCCATTAACTTGGGCAAGAAATCCAAGCCGTCCAGAATAAGCACCCCATTGTGTCATCAGACTGCCGGAATGCTCCAGTCAAAGGTGTTTTTATCACTTTTTATACAAACTGGATGTTTATCTTCTCAATTAGCACCAGTGTTTTCACTGATGTCAGTTAAATCATTCATGTGTCACTCTGCCCTCTTCCAAATGCTATCCGGCACGGTGGCAAAACATCCACAATATTGGCCATCAAACTCCACCGTTTGCGAGTGAACAGCATCAAAAAGTCTGTCTTAGTCACCAGAGAGTGTCTGCATCCAATTCACTGCATGTCCCTATTTCATCTAAACCAGTGCTTCACAACCCAGTCCTTGTGGACCCCCAGACAGTCCATATTTTTGCTCCCTCCCAACACACTTGTACCAGGTACTCAGTGTTCTTGGTTGGCTGTGTGCCAGAGCATGTGAGCGGAGTGGAGCGGTGAGAATTTCCGCTCCTCGCTCACGAGGCTGTTGGCTCCGCCCGCTCCTCCTAATTCGCACTAAGCCGCTCCGCTCAACACCGCTCCTTGCTCCACTAAAATGTCCTCCCGCTCCAGTCAAATCGCTT